CCTGAAAGGGAACTCCCTCATAGAGCAGCCGAGATATATAGGGATAGAAGAGTGCTCGGTGAGACAGGCCACAGGGGTCCCAGGAAGGATCGGGGGTGGAGGATGCTGGAGGTTTCCAGCCTTGGGCTCTGTGGTTCCTCAAAGAGGTTAGGTCTACCTAGTACCAGGCCTCCCCTCCCATGATTCAAAGAATGGATGAGTGTTCAACGTCAGGAACTCTGATCTGGACCTGGTTTTTCATTTACGTCACCAAGAGACAACCCCTAACCCCTGAGTTAGGGATGGTCCAAGCTCTGGGATGAAATTCTCCTCCAGCAATGTGATGCTTACAGGGACAGGTAGAAAAGCTGGTGACCAGGCCTGCTGTCCTCTGGGTAAGGACAGTGTGCCACCCACCCTCTGAGAGGCAGCTAGTGCCAGGCCACAGCACTGGGCGCCTGTACCCCTGGCTCTGCAGACACTAGTCATGGAGGTCCCTCCCTTTCCCCATTACCTTCTTGCTGCTCCTAGATTTCTTCTAGTCAGTAAGCACTTTGAGTCATTTTTCTGTGCATCTGATTTTACATGTTTGCTCTCAGATGACACGCGATAAAGTATGCTGAGCTGCCTGGATTCCTGGAGGAGACCTTGGATGCTGAGTCTTGGGCTCCAGGGCCCTCATGGCCCTGAATCAGAAGGAGCCAGGGAAGGCTGAACCCCTATGACCCAATGGCCATTGGTTGCCTGGCCTTATAGTCCCAAGACACCCTGTCCTCAGGTCAGAGACACCATGGGCTTTGGTCAGGTCCCAGCCTCCCAGTAGTGTCCTGGCACTAGCAGGTGCTGACCCCTGAGCCACAACCACAGTTCTGGGTTTGGGGTTTGGTAAAACCACCTTAAGGACAGAATCCTAGGGTCAGATTTGGCAGGAACCATGGTGCCTCCCAGAGATGGTGTGTCACTCCCACTTGCCAGGAAATGTGCACACGGGCTGACCCCTGTCCATCCCATCCTGCTGGACAGGATGGAGGAACTCAGGGAACAGGCAAGGTGGGCAGCTGGGGTGCAGGAAGAGGCAAGAACATGCTGGGAGGTCAGACCCTGAGAGGGCTGTGGAGGCATCAGGTGGAGTGGGCTCCAGGTGCACCTTCAGTGCACTGGGCATGTCACAGGCCAGGCTCCCCAGACCCTAGATGTGTGATGTGGTCACTCCCTGGGGGACTTCTGTCAGGTCCCGGCCACCCACCCTGGGCAGCACTGCCTCATCTCAGGACTGGCCTTTCTGAGTCCTAAGACAAGACAGTGCTGCCCAGGTCTGACAGACTGGGAGGACCTGTTAAGTCCTCCATCCCTAGACCAGCCTCCCAACAGCAGGGACAGTCTCTTATCTTCACCTTCAGGGCACTGACTGGTCCATCTCACTCTAAGGCAACCAAGGCAGAGCTGAGGACCTGCACCAGGCTGGGAGCCAGTCCCCTCCCCAAATGGGCCTAAGGGAAGCCCATCCCTGACCCAATCTGCCACAAGTTTCAGCCCAGGAGACACACAGGGAAGGGAGGATGGGGCCTCCCTGCTGGCTGACACTGGAAAAGTGGGATCTGGGAGAAGAGGGAGCACAAGGCTGGCAGGGGATGCTCCAGGCCCATGGAGAGCTCAGGCTGCACCATGGGGCCGCCCCTCCTAGGCTGGAGGCTGTGCCCTCTACAGGATCTGAGAAAGTCCAGTCCTGACAGTCCTGACATGGGACAGCACTGCCCAGGGTGGGTGGCCGGGGCCTGAGAGCAGTCCCTCAGGGAGTGACCATATCACCTGGCTGGGGTTCAGGGAGCCTGGGGTGAGACCCACCCAGTGCACTGAGGGTACACCTGGAGCCCACCCGACTTGACCCCTCACAGCCCTCACAGGATCTGACCTCCCAGCATGCACCTGCCTCTCCCTGCACCCCAGCTGCCCACACTGCCTGTTCCCTGGCTTCCTCCATCCTGTGCAGCCCATAGACTGCGACCATCTCTCCGGCCACTCTGGCCCTTTCTTTACCTTTGTCCTGTCAGAATCTCTGAGCAAGATCTCCCAGGTCCATCCGCACACCTGCTTTGTCCACTTTTGACTGGGCTGTTGGGCACCACTGGGCCATCCCAGCTGTCCACAGGGCCCTTGATAACGCACGATACACCAGGCTTCTCCAAGCAGTGCTCAGCAGTCCCCACTGACCAGGTTCCTGCTAACTAGACTCCACACATCAGGTCTTCCCTGACCACACCCTCACTGACTAGACCCCCCATCACCAGGCCCCACTAACCATGCCCCCACTACCAGGCACACAATGACCAGGACTCCACTGACCAGGACCTCACTGACAAGGCCTCACGTACCAGGTCCTTACTGACAAGGCCTCACTGACCAGAACCTTACTGATAAGGCCTCACTGACAAGGCCTCACTGACTGGGTCCTTACTGACCAGGCCTCACTGACAAAGTCCTTACTGACAAGGCCTCACTGACCAGGTCCTTACTGAGAAGTTCTCACTGACTAGGTCATTACTGACAAGGCCTCACTGACCAGGTCCTCACTGACAAGTTCTCACTGACTAGGTCATTACTGACAAGGCCTCACTTAACAGGTTCCACCGATCATGACCCCACTGCCTGACCCCACAGATGAGGCCCCACTGACCAGGCCTCTAGGGAACAGGCTGCCACTGATCAGGCCCCTCCTAACCAGGCCTGAGGTGACCAGATGCCCCGACTGGAACCCTAATAAGTAGGCC